AGTGGTGCCAAACCAGCTGTAACACCCCTAGAGATCAATCAGAAGCTCACAACAGTTGAATATGATGAAGCTGTTGGACTTAAAGAAACAGACCCCTTAGTAGATGTCACTAGTTATCAAAAATTGATAGGGAAACTTCTCTATCTTACTGTTACTAGGCCTGATATCAGCTATTCAGTGCAGAGTCTAAGCCAATTTATGCAACTACCTAAGAAATCCCATATGGATGCTGCTCTTAGGGTAGTGAGGTATCTCAAGTCTGCACCAGGCATGGGTATTTTGTTAAAGAGGGGAGAGGCAAATACATTGACTGCTTTTTGTGGCTCAGATTGGGCAGCATGTCCAATGACAAGAAGATCAGTTAGTGGCTATGCAGTCAAGTTTGGTGACTCCTTAATATCATGGAAATCAAAAAAGCAGCACACAGTGTCAAGGAGTAGTGCAGAAGCAGAGTATCGTAGCATGGCATCAGCAGTTTCTGAAATTGTGTGGCTACTGGGTTTGTTCTCAGAATTAGGAGCTTCCATTGTGCGACCAATCTCATTGTTTTGTGACAGCAAGGCAGCAAGGCAAATAGCTGCCAATCCTATCTTCCACGAACGCACGAAACACATTGAGATCGATTGCCATTTCATTCGAGAGCACATCAAAAAAGGCCTGCTTATTACTCAGTATGTCAATTCTAAGGATCAACAAGCTGATCTTCTCACCAAAGGGCTACCTTCAGGGCAACATCATTTTTTACTTGGCAAGCTAGGTGTCTTGAACATTCTCCATCCACCCGCTTGAGGGGGAGTATTGGAAGACTTAGACTAGTTAGTTAGTTAATCTAATTAGTTAGGACCAAAGTGTAAATGTTAGAACTTAGAGAGGTCATAGTTATTATTCTACATGATTGTATATATCAGTTAGTTAACACAGTGAATAAGGAGTTGGAAAAATTCCCAAAACACTGTCTTCTTCTTCTTCACGTCAAAGCTCTCTCTAATGGCCAACTTTTGACAGTCCCAGTCAAGAACATCCAAAGAAGATAGATCGGAGCCTAGAAAATGAAGCACTTGTGATAGTTAATCAATTGTTTCAATGATACTGAGTAGCTTTCTTTTGACAAAAATGAAGATCTTATAATTATAAGTAGTTGAAACAGTAATACATGGGCTTCTTTGCAATCATCACTCATGCGCTAGTGAGCCTCATGCCTGTGATTCAAATTACTCATTCCATAGTAATGCTATATACTTAGTTTCTTGACTTTTGACAAAGAGGATGATAACAAGTCTTGAGTACTGTTAATGCATGCATGGCTGCAATGCGTCCATATATTTGTGCATGTCGTACTCAAGAAGATTCTTCAAGTGGGGTCTGGTATGTAGTCGACCATGTAATGCGATAACAAATTCAAATTCTAGTAAATTTAACTTTTAATATGTGCTCATTCTTTTCCAAACACACACACACACACAAAAAAAGCAGCCTGGTGCACTAAGCTCCCGCTATGCGTGGGGTCCCGGGAAGAGTCGGACCACAAGAATCTATTGTATGCAGCCTTACCCTGCATTTCTGCAAAGAGACTGTTTCCACACGGCTTGAACCCATGTCTTTCCCAAACACACAGATACACATAATCCAAGTTAGAGGTTGTGAGTTTTGTTGAACTCTCCGCGTCTATAGTCTATATATATCTACCAATGATATAATAATATTCAGATAGCTGTATGTCATTCATCATATAATAAAGAGATAAGGTCGCTTTGTTTTGTAACGGGGCTCGTCACTTACTTCACGGGACTCGTCTATAGTCTCTCTCTCTCTACTCATCTCCGACTTAAAAGCCCAGCTTGTGCCCATAATATCAAACAGAAACATATCTTCAAAGATAATAGGTAGAGTAAAAACATAATGGGTTAAATTGTTTTCTACCAACCTAACAACACCATTCTATCCCAAGAGAAAGTAACAGATAGTGTATGATTGGTGGTTGGAATTTGGAAAGAAACAAGAAGGTACAGATCAAGTGGTTTCCTTTGCCAATTACCCAAGAAAGGGAGAACAAAGAATATCAAAGTGCCTGGGCCAAATCCTTTGTATAGTTTTTCTGTCTTCATATCCGACGAATGACAATTCATGGTGGTCCTTTTTTCCTTTGTTTCTCCCTCCAGTACCACCACTATGATTTGGCTACACTATCTCTTATTATATAATTTTAATACTAGATCGTGACTTTGTGTCATTTATATATTTTTCTCTAGAATTTAGAAAAGTCTCCTAATGTTCTTCCACTTTTCACTTTTGATGTTTCTAGTGCAGAAAAAGTAAAGCAAAAAGGGTGACTTTTTTCGTTGTATTTTTGTGAAATGGTACCTAAGTTTGAACTAGGTAGCATTTGTCTGCACATTAACCTCGTAGAATAAAGCTCTATCTCTTTGTGAAAAGGGTGCCTGAACCAGAATGGTGGCAGTGTACATTCCAACATAGATCAAGATTTTGCTAAAAGAGAACTATATTAGCGTTTAGTTCTCTTATTTTTGTCTCGGTTTAACTTTTGCACACGGATAGTTTTTATTAATGATGTATAAACTGGACATCACTTTTAAAAGTGACTAAATGTAACTACTTACAATCGTAGAAAATAAGATAAATAACATTCTCAAGAGGTTAAATTGCTCTGATTGTGCAAAATTCATCTGCAAAGTCGATGTATATAATTAAATCATTTCTGTTTTTCCCTTTTCAAGGTCGTTTCCTCTCATTTACCTTTCAACAAATGAAAAGAATAGAAAAGAAAAGAAAAAAAAATATATTATTATTTGCCATGAAATAATATTTAGAAATATAGCAACTTCTTAGCTCACTAAATAGATGTGTCTGTATAAAAATCTGGTTTGACTTGACTTGGACCGAGCCATGATTTGGCGCTGATACGTGTGGCCTACTTCAAGGATATATCGAGTTTGTATACCCACCGATGATATATGTGTGTATTACTATATTATATATAGAGTTTAAGTTGTATACGCATTATGAAAATTTTACACCATCACAGTAACAATTATAGTAGCCAATAGCCAACGTCTTTTATTTTTAAGATTGCAAATCTCACATTTAAGGAGATTTACTTGTAAATATCTTTTGGTGATATGATAGTGTAAAGAATTTCATACACTAGTTGGTTGTGTATATAATTTAAATACATAATCCTTATATAAATGCAATTTCCTATACTTTTCTTGTTTGGTTACATGAGATCCATCAAGAGTAGTTGATGAATTTTGTTGACAAATTAATTCAAATAATTAAGACTATTATTTTGATGTGTGACACTCCCACTTGAAGCGTAAAGAATAATGTCATTCCTAGCTTTAATTGTGATGGCAACAGTTATCTTCCAAGATACAGCAAAATTTGACTCTTTAAAGGTTTCTTTCTCTGCTATAATAAATGCTTTAAATAAAGGGTTGACACCCTCTAATATGAAAATAGGAATAATTCACATAAGGTTGCTTCTGAATCAATTAACATCTTGTGGGGCGAGCAATATTAAATGATTTTCTACAACTCTCATCGAATAGTATAAGATTTGATACAACGACATTCTTCAAATATTAAAACTCCTTGGGTAAGATTATAATTTTCATATTTTAGAATGAGCCCCATGTTAATGTAAGAACTGAACTGTGTCTTCTTCTTCTTTTTATTTTTGGTGCTAAATTTCTCTAAAGTTGCGTATAAAATAGTTGTAAAAAAAAACCACTAGTCTAATGGAATATGCTGAGCTTTCTGTTAGAAATTGAAAATCGAACGTTTCCACTCTTCAATTGTATTAAATGCGAAGAAAAAACCAGTGGGTAGCAAAATTCTTGACTTTGGTTTCTAGTACTAGTAGTGGGTAAGAGCACTAATTTTTGCAGGTCCCAGTATCTGTACCTTTGTATTTTGACATTCTAGGCACACCAATTATGTGTTCGCATTAAACACTGTCGTCAACCATCACTTTGGGTTTTCAAACTGATTCCGATTATTTAAAGAAATTGATTGGAAATTAATCAGTTCAGTTTCTTGAAATACTAACCGATCAAGAAAATATTTACTGATCAAATCATGAGAAATATTATCATACTTAATATTGCTGAGTCTCCCATACCAACTTAACAAAAGGGTGTAGTGTTAGTATTAATTTTTGTTCTATTTGGCAGCATTATGAATGTAATACCATAAGTTAGTGGTAAATGGTCAACATTCAACATCGCTACGTTGGCTGAATCTATTCCCTCCCCAAACTTAAGGGATTTGCTTCTTCTTTTTTTCATTTAAACAACAAAAAAAAATTAAGGGATTTGCTGAAGTTTAATTGATTTGTTCCAAGTGGTACATATATAAGAAGATGAATAGTGGACTATGAAAATTGTAATGCTTGGATTTATCCCAAGATCATCATGCACGACGGTCTACATGGCTCAACTTTGACATTTCTTACACAAAATTACAAATTTCAATAATTTCCAGAAGGTTGGATTTAAGCTAAAAAACTAGAAATTCAAGATATCAGATGAAAAAGAAAAAGAAAAGATTCCGACATGTATTAACCTTTGATATTAATTTTCCAAACGCAACTGTAATCAGTTAACGTGTACTTTGCACATGATGTCATAAAAATTTATTAAGGACTTGTTCGTTTACCCTTTTTACTACATCCTAATATAGTGATAATGCTAATTCAGTAACAAGCTTACAAGTATTAGGACAAGTCATTTCGAGAAAAGAAAAAAAAAACTATAAAAGCAAACATACTTCTCCTCCATATCACGATTAAGTGCTCGTTTTACAGCTAATTAACGTAACCATACTCCATGCACACACTGGTTTGAAGTAAATGTCTTTCTGCACTGCTTTTAAGTTTTAAATGTGAAATCAAAAGTTTCAATGGTGACTGCTACTAACGCCTTCAATTTTTTCAGGCCACAAAGCCCGTTACTTTCGAAAATAGCAGATACACACTACAATCAATTTAACATTGACCTACATAAATCTGTGTTCATTTTTCCTTTTGCCGGTGAAAATGATATTATGATACTATTATGGTATCATCGTTATCAGTATTACCGATTACAAGTCTGCTTGATCCCATATCCGAGAGGCTTACTTACTGCTGCTGAAATCACCATTATAAGTTGAAAGCAGCAAGCTTATTCTATTACAGTATTACTACTCAAGTACATATAACCATGACTTTACAACAAAGAAAATAATTAACAAATGTTATAAGCATCTTCCGAGAGGTCAGACTATTTATACTACCTTTTGCATGTTGCAGGTACATATGAAAGCAAATTGGTGTTGCAGCACTAATGCTGTCCCAATAAAGCTCTCAATGGTGTGGGAGGAACACCCAGACTCGTGATGATATGACCCGAAAATCACACAGATGGGAAATACTTATTGAGATTGAATGGAAGGGAATAGAATTCCTCACTCCTCGTGTCGGTTTTGAAAGACTTAAACTTGTCCCACCACGGCTTGCCTCTGTCTTTCCTTACCTGACTATCCTTTTTGTGCATTGTGTTGTCCAAGAAATAAGCCAGGATACCCGCGACAAATGCTTCCGATGAGAATGGCACATTAACCATGTCATTGAACTGAACAATAACAAAGCACAATAAAGTTTTTTCAGCAAGATGTAATACATGACTAGGAAAATAAGTGAAGATTATTAAGATATTCAGAAGCTAATCCCAATTTTCCATACCCAGCGTCCACTCGTGTGAACAGGTCCATAACCAGCAATAACTGTGTACTCATTGAAGTACTGTGGCACTGATAAACCCAGAAAGATGGAGAAACCTAATATAAACTTGGTGCGGAAACTATTCAGATTGCAGAACTGGAGGAAGCTTAAGCCTCCAACGCCTGCAAATGACAAACAACATCAGAACTCACTATTCTTCAATAATATATATCAGAGATTATTGGTTTGAACTTGCTTCCATATGCTTACCTACATAAGCGAAGAAAATGCAATACAAAGCACCTACGATGGGTGCTGGTATAGAAGCAAAGACTGCTCCAAATTTTCCTGAAGATGATGGTGTTGTCAAGAGAATCACAGGAAAAAAGAGAAGGGAGGGGCATAGTCGATTATCAAATATATCAGTAAGATCCTTCTCAAAGGGAATGTTTAAGCAGGTGATTTACCGAGAATCGAGAAGAAAATCATAAACCCTGCAGATATCTGAACAACTCTTCTGCTGCCAACACGTGTCAGTGCTAAAAGGCCCGCATTCTCACTGCATATACGCAAAGGAAAGGACATCTCAATCAAGTATTATAACAAGAGTTTATCACTCGGCAGAAGATTTTGTTTGGACTTACATAGATACAGAAGATCCATTCCCAGTGCCAAACAACCCAGACAGTAAAATGCCAATTCCCTGAGATACAAACAAAAGACTGTTAAGTTAACAACAGCAACAAGACCTGAAACTTGAAAATAATAAAGAGCAATGCGGAAAGACCAAGAAAACAGTTCATCCTCATGAATCTTATTGAGCTCTTCTTTTCCCAATACATGATCTCAGAAAAAGAGGCTTTCTTTTCTTTTCTCATGGTCCAAACATTCAGTTATCCAGATCCAGTTTCCTTTCTCTCACTCTAGCTCTTGCTCTTCCCAATTTAACTAATGGGTTAGCTAGCATGTTTCGAGTCTTGCATAGGTTCACAACATGACTGTATAAAGTATAGATTGCAGAAAAATGAGAAAGCACAAGAAACAATAATATTTGAACTAGATAATACTGGCATAACTTGGGCTTGTAACACCCGATTCCCAAGTCTTCTTCTGAGATTATTAAAGAATGCTCTAGGGTAAACACAAGGCAGATGAAAAAAGATTAGATAGTGTGGAGGAGAAAGAAAGACTTGGCGCAATGCTGAGGTTGTCGCCATGTGACCTGGATGTCACGGGTTCAAACTATGAAAAAATAAAGTAAGCCTGCCAACAATAGACCAAATTTCGTCCAACTCTTCCTGGAACCACACACACAGAGGGAGCTTAGTAATTAGTTCAGGTTGCGGTTTTAGTGTGGAGTGGAACTAGGAAGAAGCCCAAGAAACCACAAGAGGAAGCAAGATAATATTGTCATCAGATAGCCATGCATGAATTCTGAGGTGTTCCAATCTTTAGCCCAAAAAACGATATCTGCTAGATATGACATCTGTTGTTTACATCACATCTAGAGTAGATTGAAATCTGCAGGTCAGCAACCAATTTTACTAAAATTGGCATTAGAGAATAATTGTTCTATAGACCTGAATTCGAGAGGAAATAGATTTCACTTGGTGTGATAGATGCATCACAATACTGGTGGATAACCTGAAGCTTAATCAAAAGGTAAAACTGGCAAGAGCAGAAATCATCCCAAAAAAGATCATGTGCATGTGATTGGGAGATATTATTGACGATTCATGTTCCATTTTGCTAAAGAACGGGGAGTAAAGGGAGCAGGAGAGATGATTCTAGGAAAACGCCTTTTTACCTGCCAACCTACACCTCTGCTGAGTACGGATGGTGGCAAAGGAGTAGCACTTGCATATCTCGTTATTGCAATAAAACCACCAGTGGACTGAAGAAAACAAAATCAACCATCAGAAGGGAGTCGGTTCCAGGCTTGTCTAGCCCAAGTATCTTTTTCTCCATAAAATTAGCAATGAAAAGAAGTGCACAAAGAAACAACAGAACTGCAAAGGGAGCAAAATGGGCGAAAATAGAGCAGGGAATCATAAAAACAGCACAGATGAAGGTTGGAAAGCAACTCTTAGACATCTGCCTCAACAACTAGGGGCTCATAATATTTACGCCTATTCTAAGCAGTCAGCAAAATTGTCTAACACGCAAAACCTCTAATAAGATAGTGTAAAGCATTCACAATTTTGACAAATTTCTATGCCGGGCAGGTAAACTAACCTCAACAAGAGCAACAAATGCAGCCATCATCATAGCAAATGCTTCACCAGCGTCAAATGAAGGTGGTCCCCATTGGAAGGGGTAAGGAACTCTGATCCTGCGGGCAAAGATCAGCGAGAGAATATGAGCAACAATTACAGATCATCAGTTGCTTTGATTTGATAATACTTGAAGGGCACCAAATGGAATAGACAAGTACATTCTAAACTATAGAAGGCGCATAAAAGAAAAAGGTGCCAAACAAATAGAATGCTTGGCACAAAAAAAAGCACATGATGTGTTGCAGAATAATACTATCATTGAAGGAACGGAAGTGGAGAAAACAGTAAACTTTCTGTGCTTTTATGAGTACAACAATGAAAAACTGACAGCTGACTTTAAAAGACAATGTATCTGCTCCTAAAAATGAAAATCGGGTAGGAAGGCTTCAAACACCCATCCTTACTTATTCACTTGCACATGGTATAAAAATAACAACTACGCCTCAATCACAAGCTTATTGGGGCACTTATTACATGCACATAATTTCCTAAATCGCAATTCAAATGTGATATCTACCAATTATGCTCAAGGTAAAAATTAATAGCAATAAAAGGGCATAAGCACATTTCAATTGCGACTGATATGGTGATGGAGACAAAAGTGCGAAATTTCACCCCATGCAAACGCTTATCTTACAAATTCCTCAACCTATTTCTCTTAATCATTCCTCTATTGCCATTTGAATCAAAATAGCAAGGGTGTCACTTTCCCCATCATTAAAAGAACCAGCAGATTTTAACTTCTTAGAGTTCCTGCTGATGGAATCTAATGAGGTGATTAACCTTAAATCACGCAACAAGAAGACAATACATGAGTCTATAAGTATATTAAAATCTTGGAGTTAAAAGCTCATTATGAGGTTATCTCATGTATCAATATGGAAATGTCATTATGCCGAAGTTTGTGGTGGCCATATACATCACGTAAACTACCCTCGGTATCGCAACGTAGAGATGTATATGATCCAATCTGTTCGTGAATAAAGATAGCAAGCTCATTTATGCATTAAATGAGCTAAGTTTCAGATCCTTCTCGAGCTTGATTATTATAAAAGCTATGCTCACCTAACCTCGGCTCAGGTCGACTCAAATAACACCCTAGCAAAAGCACACTTAGATACTTGTGCTTCTTTCCTTTGCCACACTATCCGTCACTCACCATCCCAAACACCAGCCATTAATCATATTCCAATTTTTACCTATATGGAGTCACCATCAATCATCACGAACCCAAACAGTCAAAACTTTAATATGAAGCCAATGAGATTTCAACTTCTTTGTATGTGAAAATTTTGATATTTTCTATTTAAGTATTTGAGATTCAGCATAGATTTAGACAAAGATTGACAAAGTTTTCATTTGTTTGATTGGAAGATATATATCTGATTATTGCCTTCCTCATGCAAGAGGGATCCAATGCCCCTAAAACCCTTGAAATTTGAATCTACTTGGTGAAAGCTATTAATTATCCTACAAAGGTGACTAAACTTTCGTCCTATCTGGTCTATATATGTACTTTCAGGCTGCGACAGAAAAAAAAAGTTGGAAATTGTGATGGTCCAGTGAGAGTTCAGTTTTCGCATTCAAGCTCAAGTTCAAGCTCAACTTTTTGAGCTATTTCTTGAGTTGTTTGATCAAGTCCTAAGCTCGTATGACAATCAAGATAGAGCTTGAGCTCAGGAAATTTGCAAGCAGGTTGACCTCCCGCTTCTAGGCATAGGTAGGCTAGTTAACATATCCAAACCTAATCATTCTACTTCCTTTTTATTCTACTCAGCTTGCACCACCACCATAGTCACTAGTAAGATTCTTTATTTCCATACAAAATACTTTTCAAATTACGTTAGCAAATTAGTAGCATGAGAGCTACTTACTACTATAAAGTTCAACTTCATCAAAAAGTTTCATTTCAACCCTACTTTTGGACCCACAAAAGGAAACCCAATGGAATTTCCAGAGGTCTGATCAGACCGTAAATATAGCAGAAAACGATGAGGGGTAAGGAAGAGAAAAAGAACTCACCATGGAGCACCATCAATGAGTCCAGCACGATCAGTTCTGCAGCTTGCTTGGGTCTTTGGTGGAGTCCCATTATAAGCCCCACCCACTGTTAGCAGGTGGGCATATATCCATACAATTGCCACCGTGAAAAGAACAGCAAAACGATCAAATATATTCTTTCCTGGGCGTATCAGATGGGCCAAATACTGCAATGACCACCAAAATCAAATAATCTGTAATTTTGGTATGCTACAATTCCAAGCAGCATAAAGTGATAGTTAAATGATTTCTCGATAAAGCATCTCACTTGAGAGAAAATGACCAAAAGGACCAGCTGCGGCAACCCAATTTCAACACATTTGGCAACCTAAACATAGAAGATACGGTCAACATTTCAGCCATTATATAGCAACAAGCAAGTAGACACATAAAAGGAAAAAAGGCTCATCTACATCAATACTTTTGGAGAAGGAAATCTTCATCAATACTTACCCCAGGAAAACCAAATTCGTAGAGCCCGAAGCCGACAAGAGAAACTAAAGGAACAGCTGAAAGCGGGCTTAAAAACCTAAATAATCGACAGAAATAGAACACCAATCAGAGCTAGTTTTCACTGAAATAACACAAAATGATGACACAATGACGTGGTGCAGTGAACCACTAAAGCTGACCCATTGATCATTACTTGATCTTCAATTCCAAAAAAGACAATAACAGGTGTAAAAAAGAGTGCTTTATTAAGATGTAGGAACTAGATCATAAGTCTAGAATAGGGAATAACATTAGGCAGTCACAAATTGACATAATAGGAACTAGATCAGAAGTCTTTACATAGGGAATAACATCAACCAGTCATAGTCGACACTAAATGGCACACAAACAAATCTTGTGAGGCTGACAAACCTTACAACATTGCGCCAAAGACCACTGAAGCCCAGGACAATCTGAAGTGTTGAAGCAACGATAAGTGCACCTTGGGTGGCCCGCATTATCTTCTTGAATCTCTAATGAAAAATAGAAAATGTAATAAAATATTAGGACGGGATATCACCAAGATGCAGGGGATGAGTTTAAGTTATGCCTAAACATCTTGTACACAGATTTAAAAAATATGAACTGGTAAGAGTTATTTTGAGGAAAATGATTATTAGTTTCCAAATCAGCTAAGATTTTGTGCATTAATGTCTTTGGCACTCAAGTTATAATATAAAGAACATAAGAACAATTAAACTGTCATTCCATTATCTGACTGTTATACCTACAAGAAAACTTCATCACAAAACCAATTTCTCTAATTTTCTTTTCAATTGACTATAACACATGATCCAAACAACAAAGGACAAAATTAACATCTGAAGACACTAACCGAAACAGGGTCTGGGTCTTCCCATCGTCCCGAAAGGATAATTGAAATTGTAGGTGCAACAAAGGTATAAGACGCTCCAATCACAGCTGGTAGTCTAGTTCCAAAGTAAGATTGCAACAAGGTGTTCAGCCCAGCAACAAATAGCAATGTCTGAATAACTTTCGCTTTCTCCTCCTGCGAAAGGGCAGATAATCTTTTGTTTAATATTGTCACACTACTTTTTAAGTCGAAATAAAACAATTCATTTTAAGCAGTATAACAGCTTTCCGCTGTCAAAAGGCCTCACATTTCCTCCTCCCATTTGGGGAACTAGAGCCGTAGGAATGATAACTGTGGTACCGAGCATAACCAGATAATGCTGAAATCCAAGAAGGATAGCCTCAGCTGCATTAAACAATAAGACAAAATCAGCATAGTCGACAATCCGCATTTCGGAAAATAATCAGCAACAAAATAAAAGATATAGAGAAGTGTTCGCCGACATTTTTGTTCAAGATCAGCAACAAGAAATGAAGCAATTACTTTACAGAGTAGACATTACTCCAATGACAGTCAACAAGACAATAGTTTTATTACTAAGTCAGTGGGATATTTCATGTGTGACCAGAACTGGATAGAATAAAGCATACTAATCACCCTAAACCTCAAAAAGGTAACTTTCAGAAATATGGAATATAAAGAAATGCCACTAATTACAGTTAAATATGTTATGAGGCTAAATGAAAAAAGAAAGTCATATGCTTTAACAACTAGAATTTGAGAAAATATAGAAAAGGTGAAACTAAAGCAATTAATGTGTGCTCTGCTCAAATTCTCAAAATAGCAACAAACATTACATAAAGAAGCAATTCAAAGCCTGTGGAACAGAAAACAGAGTTCAGGAAAATCAAGCAAGAATGGATAAGATTATGCTACAATGCTAAAACAAAGAATTCAGAGAATTAAACACTTACGCCAAGGAGGAGGACTAGTAATGCAGTAAGAAACATTAGGAAGCTGATCTTTTGGTGGATGTGGTGCTGGTTCATCTGACTTTCCTGCCATCTCTCTCTCTCTCTCTCTCTCTCTCTCTCTCTCTCTCTCTCTCTCTCTCTCTCTCTCTCTCTCTCTCTTTCTCTCTCTCTCTCTCTCTTTCAAAATGAGGACAGCACACTATTCGGTGAAGTGTCTAGAGAGTAGAGAGACTAAAAGCGGTGCAAAATCCCAAATCTGCACAATGACACATAATAAATCTCTCAGTTTTCAGAAATCAATAAAAAGGTAAGCAAAAGAAAAAGGACTCAAGCTTTTTGTTTTGAGTACCTAGAAAGCAAGATTGCAAAAAAGATTTAATTTTTAGAGTACCCAAAAAGCTCAATTATGAAACCACGCAAGCTTGACAAGATTGGAACAACAACCCACATGTATATATGTTCCCACAAATCCACTCACTTTTACTACTATATCTCACTATTAAATAAAAAGAGAAATGCAAATGAAATGAAAACTGTAACACAGTGTTTTGACACTCTAAGAAAAAAACTACCTATGATGCATTAACGTCGATAAAATCACAGACCCTACTTTCATTTATCATTTTCAAGGGGGGAAAACAGAGGTTATAACTTATACGGAGAGAAAAAGAGAAACAAGAACTACCAACATCTGGAGACTGAAAGCAAAAATGTAAAGATAAAAATAGACTGAAAAGTGAAAATTGACCTTCTCTCTCTTTCTGTTTCAAAAAGAGGTGTAAGAATTAAAAAAATTCGAAGAATCTCTCGATCAGGCACACATTTGTTTATTGGTCTTTCCGAATTGAGTCAACACACATTCGCTACCAGGGATTGACACCTCAAATAAGAAAGTAGTAGTAAAATACACCATTTATTAATTTATGACCAGGGAATTTTTGTGCCCACCCTCTCTGTCGGTTAATTTACTATTTTTCTCCTATTGTTGTCATCCATATTTTAAAGGGGAATGCACCTAGTTTTCTGGTTAAATTATTTTTATCGTCTGTTAGTAAAAAAGTATATACAAAACAACTTCTATTAATATATCTTATTAATGTCTTGCATTGTTTCAGTTCTTTTTTTAAATGACGGATTTGTCCTTGAAAATACTACAGAATCAAGTTCAGCAAACTAAATTTTTTAAAGAATAATTGAATTTTGACTAATATGATTGAGGAATTTGTACCATCTAATCCAGAAAAAGAATAGACGAATATTGGGGTGCACAAAAAGAAGTGACAAATTGGAAAGGAAACAAATGACACCGATACATTCTCCCTATTATTTGGTTCCAATTTGCATCAGATCCCCTATTCGAATTTTGTTGATACTTGAGGAAATTTCCACCTTAGTCCCTCCCAAAAGAAAATAAGTATAAAAATCCTACTATTAGTTCTTGTTTTGTGATGACAATATGATATGAAAGATTATAATGCTATAGTTTTCGACTTATTTATTATATGTACCAAATTTACGTTTAGATTTTGACTATCCAACTACTTCTTCCTACTTGTTAGTTTGGCACTATCTTTTTTAAGTTAAATGTTTGATATTTACTTGTTCAACTAATTTAAATTTACGCTAAGTAGTTGGTTAAATACTAGATACAATATCCCTTCGATCCACAATAAGTGACCATTTTACCTTTTTATTTTAGTCCAAAATAAGTATACATTTACATAATCAAGAAGGAATTAATTTTATTTTTCCAAAATTTGCCTTATTACATATTTCAATGTGTCAAGGTAATAATTAATTAAGATTAAATTAATATATATATATATATATATATATATATATTTTCTAAGAGTCTGTATTTAGCATTTATCATTAGGGCTTTGGTACAATAATTTATCATTATTGCTTTGGTGCAGTTAATAGTATTCACTATTATCCTTATGACTTAAAGAGTAAAAGAAAAAGTAGTCTCAGCTCCTCAGAAGTCAGAACAAGAATAATGTAGCTGCCCGTTGCAGTCGGCAAAAATTGGATGATAGCTGAAGAGGTTAAAATCACGTGACATGTAATCTTCAAAGCATTAGAAAATTTTAAGCTAGCGTTTGACTATACATTTTTAAATTTATTTCGAAAAATCTAATTTGAATTAAGTTTGGTTTGAAAATAAAAATGTGTTTGGATATATGTTTTCAGAATATATTTTTCAAATTTATTTTGGAAAAACATGTATATTATTAGTGTTTGTAAATATTTTGGCCCAAAACCAGCTATTGAGCTGGTTTTGGGATATACGATTTGAAATTTTACCAAAATATCGGCAAAATCTCTGGCCAAATATGTGTTTGCCAAATAAAACCCAAATTTTTTTTGACGAAATCTATAACCAACGGGTCCTAAAAATGTTCCATATGAGTTGTTAGATATTAGTCGTATACAATTTATATTAAGTGTGCTTGATATAAAAGAAGTTAATTTTTTATAAATAAAATATTTTCTTGAATAAGTGCTTTTCATGCTATAATTATTTTCTAGTGTTTAGTTCATTAGTTGTTGAATGAAAAAAAAGTTCCACTTTGTTTTTTTTTTTCTCATTTTTTCTTTTTGGTCTTCCATCTGGTGTCTAGTACCCATATTGAAGCCCGATTATATTTGGATTTAGGGGAGAAGCGCTCCCTATCAAGGTTTTTTTTCATATTCAGGGCTCGAACATGATACCTCTAGTTAAGGGAAGAGCAGCCTTATGCTGCACCACATACTTTGATGGGTTTATTTTTCGTTTTTAGGATATTCCATTTGTTTTTTTTTAAAATTACTTTTACTGTAGTGGTATATTAAAAGTCACTTCTTATTTTTGGTTGTTCTCTTCAATGGTTGAAAAGCGAATTTGTGAAAAAGGTGAAAAGAAGAAGGTGGATCTTTCGGCGGAATTGAGAATAATTCGTTATAACAGTAAAATTAAAAGGAGCTTTTTCTATTGCTTTTTCGAATAAGTGATTAGGGTAATAAGCCCAAGGTGTTAATTTCAAGAACCTTAAACCTAAAGTTACAAATGATTGTATTGCTGTCTCAACGAAAAAATGGAGGTTTTGTAAATTTCAATGACTAATCTAATTCATTTTACCCAAATCACTTCTAAGCTTCGAGTGTAAAATATGGACTTGGGTTTCTTGATGATATTCAATTTTGAATATGCAGCTTTTACTTGTATCACAGGCTTGGTATATACCTTTCGATTCTTATACGGCTTATTTGGATTATTGTTACATGTCATTTCATAATATATTGTATGTATTGTGTTGTATTAATATATTGTACTGTATTATTTGATAAATACAATGTTTGGATAGATTGTATCGTTTGCTATCGTTTTATGATGCCACGCACCAATAATATAAAGAATAAACTTGCAATATTACTAAAAAAAAGATATAAAGTAAAATATTTATTTAAAAAAGTAGGGTAATGGATAAAATATATTTACTTACTAATATAGGTAAAGGATAAAATATATTTATTAATAAGGAATGGCAAGATGAGAGAAAAAACCAAAGTAACGACGTCACCACACCAAATACGCCGTTCCATAAAGTAGCACTTTTCATCGTTACGTAATAGCGAATTTAACGATACAATACAATAAAATTTAAGCAACAATCAATACAAATATTATATTTAAATAACAATACGAAACAATACAATAAGTAACAACCATCCAAACAAGCTGTTATTGTATCTTTAACACATCTATCCTCAAACCTAACATTTACAATTCAGGCAAGTTATAAACTCCTGTTATTTAGATTAGTTCTGTTTGTCACTTGAGCTAATAAATCATTGGGCAAGTGCATGCTTTTCCAAGATAAAAAGGGCTTTATTCTAGATATATATAGAACATTTAATGTAACTATATAAAAGTATAGACTTCTTATAAACCAGTTCGTAATTAATTTATTAATTTTCCTTTTGGATGACGGAAATATATCAACTGACGTTGCAATATCATATTACTAGCTTGTTCAAGATAATAACACTATCATAACATAATTTGACCTAATGATAGGGGTAAAACGTTTTACAATAAGGTCATAATTATCCAATAAGCTACTTGTCTTGAACGCGATCACATAATTGACCAATGAACTAAAATATCGTGCAAGAACTAGTTCAAACTCATATATGTTTTTTACTATAATCTCATTAAATACTTCTCGTTGACATGTAATCCGATCAATTAATTAAATGCGTTTGTCCCGACTGGTCGTTTTGAGCATTTGCATTTTGCTCGGTAGTTTGGGGCCACGAGTAGCTCCGTATGATGTATTAATACTTGTGTGCAAAAATTGAATTCATTCCGAGTTGATTTGATATGTTTCGGCGCGAGTTTTTGGAAGTCGAAAGTTCGAAAGTTCATTAAGTTTGATTTGAGGCGCGTTTCGTCGCTTCAATGTTGTTATGCATGATTTGATGCCTTGAGTTGGTCCGTGTCATGTTATGGGACTTGTTGGTATATTTGTACGGGGTCCCGAGGGGCTCGGGTGAGTTTCAGATAGGTTTGAGCTGCGTTGCGCTCGTTTCTTCAAGTATAAATGGTATCACATTAAGCAAATGATCTCCGATTTATGTTTTAATTGAAAAATTAGATCTGTAACGTAATTACGGAGTCATAGCAAAAAGAATCATCGCATTTGGACATCGTTTGATGAATTTATGGTCATTTTACTAAGAATTGGGTTGCCAGATTTTTCAGATTAATTACGGAATTACCACTGAATTCGTATTTAAAAATCTGCACTATTTGCAAATATTGAAACCAACATATCTCCTTCGTTATAAGGTCAAATGGAGTGATTCAAAAGCCTAACTTGACTAAAATTTCATAAGGAATCCATTAGAGGCATAAAAGTGAGTTTCGAGATCGTTTGGCACAAGAAACGAGGCAGAATAGCTGGCAAAAAATATATACTCCCTCCGATCCACAATAAGTGACCAATTTACTTTTGGCACGACCATTAAAAAAAATATTAATTTCTATACAAAAATACCTAGTATGACTAATCGCTTGGCTTGCTCGGTATTGGAATTGGCTTGTCGAAGTAAGTAACTCTTCTAGACTTAGTGATGAGGGTATGAAACCCCGAATTACGTTTTATGTGATTGGTGTTAAGGTGAAGCACATGCTAGGTGACGGGCGTGTGGGCGTGCACCCTGTGAATATTGACTCTATTGTTCTCCATGGCACTGTATAGTGGCCTTATCTTGTTGATATATGTGTTTTCACCATGTGATAAAGTAATTGAGCTGTTAATCATGCTAGATATCATGTTTAGGCTTTATGCCGATACTGTTGGGGACCCATAGTTGTCATTTCTTGCTGTCATCCCGCTGGTTTTCATTGATATTTCGTACTCAGTCATATTCATGCATTTATATCATATCTCAGTCTCGGTTATTATTCATTGGCACATCATATCATTGTTCCGGGTAAGTCTTCATGATATTGTGAGTTCGTGGGTGAGACCAGAGAGATTGATGACTAAGTAAGGCCG